CAAAGCTCATTTTTTTTCAGCCTTCATACCTTCTTGAGTTTGTGGAATATCCGTTGTCTTTCTCTATGATATTCCTGCTATTAATTCTTAGATGGATCCTTGGACGCCCAACGACCGTGAACGTAGCTGTTAGCCACGGCACAGAGTGGAATGATTCCATTCTCACCACCCACTGGAAAGCAATCTAGACCCGTAATGGGAAACTCAAATAGCAAATCTATGGGTATAAGCATGTCTGGAGAAGTCACGAGTCAGCAACAGGCTCAGTTAAGCAGTGAGATAGTTTAGCTGGAGGTCATGGGGGCTACAATGAAGGAGGGCAGTCTCCTCCTCACAGCCCCAGCGCAGGCTGTTTTGTCGCTGTAGTGGGGGTCTGGTAAATGTGATGTGGAGGGGAGGGGGAAATGGTAAGTTGATACAAGCCGCACAAAGAGGAGTGGAAGTGTTGTTGATGCTTTGTACAAGTCAGTGGTGTGATAACGGAGGAGTTTGTGGAGGGCTAAGATATTTCTAGCGACAATGGCGCAGGATAGCAATCTGTAGCATCAGTGATAAACATCAGGTTTCGCTGTCAGAGCGGGAAACGTAGAGACAAACTTTTACAACCACAGGAGAAGCCAGTGCAACAGAACACAATGCAGCTGCACCGCTCATCTTTTTGTCCACTTCCCTTCAGTGGTAAGGGATGTTCACCTGTGGTTGTTGAACAGCAAGACCGCAATTTTTATTCTGTTCTTAATCTTGGAAAAACATCACTATGATACTTGTATAGTCTATGTAGAGCTGTAAGCTGCAAAAAAAAAAAAAACAAAACAACAAGGCCTCTTCTGTCAAAGGCATAATTGAAAACAGAAAATCCTCAGAGAGCTGGTGATGTGCAGCGCATCCACCGAACATCTCGCAGCTCTTCTTGCCATTCTTGCATGTAAACACAATCATATGATCATGCATAGTATAATCTGACGATACTTGCCCACATTTGTAGCTGTTGCCGCTTGGTGTTATCATGATAAATCTGTGTTTCAGTGCAGACAGTTACCCCAGTGGTCTAAATTTCTGCTGTCCAACTGGAAATTGTGGGTTGTCTTTGGTTTCCGGCCGGCATTGACTGAAGAGTGTGGGTCTTTAAAAAAAAAAAAAAGCATAACACCAAACTCCAGCCTCGTCTTTGGAAGTCATTAGTTCGACAGGCAGAGCAGCTGATGCTGATGGTGGTGAAATGATAATTAGAGCCGGAGATAGATTGAGTCAATATAAGTGTAATTTTTTAAGTGTGAGGTTTATTAGTACAGAGGCAATCAGGCTCCTAATGAGGGCCTGATGGAACTTCTTAAATAGTGGAACCAGTCAAATTAATGGCTCTAATAGCTTCTGGCGTGGGACTCTGCTTTTATTTATTGCACTTGTGTATTCTATTGTCTATTTAGTACTTTTTTTTTTTTTTTTTTTTTTTTTTCAAAATACCAGTGTGATAATTTACTCGGATAAATTATGTTTCTTTGGATTCATAAAGCAACGGGAGACACGCTGCTGCACATACATTACACACACACACACACACACACACACAGGCATTACGCTCACACACCCTATGTATGTGACTATAAATAGATTTTTCAGCCCATTAAGACTCATCTTTCAAATCATGTCATTAATTAAGCTTAGAAATACTAAAGTAATTTCTCTTTAATGAACTTGCTCAATTAAGTCTGCCCTCTTTTTGGTTTAATCCTCCTCGCTTTAAGCACTGGATAACTACTCCTTCTCTCTGGCTCTCCCTGCACTCGCTCTTCCTTTTGTTTTTCGTGGCGTGCGTTTCTCTGCCAGCCCTCTCCTCAACCTGCAGCCTTCCCCCTTCGCCTGTTTGTCTCAGCCAAGTTGATTCATCACACCCTGTGCACTCACGGAACAAATCGCAGTCATTTGCACTGCTAGCCTGCTTCCAGCTAAAAGGCAGTGAGACAGTTGTACGTGTAGGCTCACGCGCACACACACACACACACACACACACACACACACACACACACACACACACACGCTCCCACACACACACTCACACACACACAAACACAGGGACATATTTTAAAATAACTGCAAAATAGACAAGTGAAATGTCGCCCAGTGGATGATGCAGGTAGCTCTGTGGGCGCTCACTAACAAAATACGTCATTTAACCAAATTGAATCTAAATCCAACCAGTGCCTGTCAATTAAGATTAACTTATTATCCCCATTTGGCCAAGTTCGACCTTCATTTATGGACTTAATGCTTTTAGTTATGTTTTTGAGACTCATCAACAGGTTTTTCCAGACAAGTGACCACTATTGGAGGCCTCTGTCAGTAGCTAAGGGAAAAATAACATGACTGTATAAAGCATGTACACCCACCCAGCAATTTATAAGGACTACACCTGCTCATTCATGCAATTATCCAGTCAGCCAATCATGTGGCAGCAGTGCAATATGTAAAATCATGCAGATATAGGTCAGGAGCGTCAGTTAATATTCACATGAGACATCAGAAATGGGAAGAGCTGTGACCCCAGTGACTTTGACCCTGGCCTGTTTGTTGGTGTACGGGTCAGAATTTGGCGGCAACAGCGTGAATAAATGGACCCAGCCTGCCTTGTGTCAGCAGTCATAGCCGGTGGTGGTGGTGTTACGGTGTGGGGGATGTTTTTATCGGCACACTTTTGGCTTCTTAGCCTCTCTGGGCGTTGTTGTTCCCCATGTGCATCCCTTTATGGCCGCAGTTCACCATCTTCTAATGGTTACTTCAAACACGATCATGCACCGCACCGCGTTGCAAAGCAAAAGTTGTCTCAAACTGGTTTTTACAAGCATGACAATGAGTTCAGTGAACTTCAGTGACCTCACCAGTCACCAGATCTGCATCCAGTTTTGGCTCAGGAGGTCGAGCGGGTCGTCCACTAACCAGAAGGTCGATGGTTCAATCCCCGGCTCCTCCTCCGCATGTCGAAGGGTGCAGATTTTCCCCCGTTGGCTGTTCCATCAGTGTATGAGCGTGTGTATGAATGCGATGTGTGAATGGGTGAATGTGGCATGTTGCAAAGCGCTTTGAGTGGTCGATAAGACGAGATAAGTGCAGTCCATTTACCATTTAACAACTTTGGGATGTGGTAGAACAGAAGAGTGGCAGCGTGAATGTGCAGCTGATAAATCTGCAGAAATGACACAGACATGATGGTGACCTTCCCCTGATTTAAACTAAGTAGCTAAACTTGCCTAAACTCAACCGGACTTTGAGGAAAGTGCTGGCGGGTCAGAACATGCATTTCATTTTTGGAAGAGTCATTTTGTCTGTTGTGTCAAAACCCCAGTCACAAAATGCACAGGCCAGGTTCCCCAGCATGCACTCCAAACCTGCAGGGGGCAACCACACAATTTGGTGCACCCATGTGCACAGGAAGTGCTTCACAGGAAGGGAAAATGATAAATGTTTGGGAAGGAGCTCAATTCACTCTCTCACCTGCTGCTGAAGAACAATAGGCTACAGCCACAGCTCATGTTCATCATCACAGATGCAACTGGTAGGACAAACCAAGTTTATGTGCTATTCTGTTCTATTTTATTCCATCCTCCCCATCTTGAAGAAAATAAAAAATCAAAGAATTGAGTTGTCCTTTGCGTTCCTCAGATGAGCAAGCCATTTGTCAAGTTTGGGCAGAGTTGTGGTCAGCCAGAGAGAAAAAAAACTTCAAACAAAACTTGACATTGTCTTTTGTTTTCGTTGGTCCTCTTACCAGCAACACGAGGCACTTACAAAACACATACTGCAGGAAAAAGTGAGAGGCAGCAAATCCATGCATGCTAGGGTTTTACCACATTCTTTGAAGCGTGGCACAGCAGTAGTTCAGGTGTTAGAGTAAGTCGACCTTGACACCGAGTTCGGCTCCTGATGTTACAGGTTAGCACCTTGCATGCCAGCTTGGCCCCAAAATCAGTGTTTGAATGTGGGTGTGTGCGTGAGTTCACTGTTCTCAGGATGAATGTGCTATATAAAGCCAGTTCCCTTACCGTGGAGCCGAGCCCGAGTATCCTCAATAAAATGATGATCGTTGTGCTTTTCAACCAGCGCAAACAAGCTTTTACAATAATCCCCACTGGAAAACACAAACAATATTCAGTTCACTTTTTGTAGCGGAAGCATCAGGTGAAGGTGAATGAAGCTTCACGACTGTTAATTGTAACCAATTAAAACCAAGAGTTTTCAAACAGCTGATTTAACACGGTGCAACAGGTTAGCGAACAGATGTATACCCACACATCTGGGAGACACCTTTCACATTACTCAGTCATTTGATTCATTGTTAGTTAAAAATATTTATCAGTGCAGTGTTAAAAAAAAAAAAGTGTCTGTTTCAGACATTTTCACCCATTTTGACTTTTTTCTTTTTTAATCTCCATCACTTAACTATGATACTTTTGCAGCCACGTGGAGTAGCTGTCCTCTAGATGATAACCACTTGAAAGATAGATTTAACATCACACACTTTCAATAAACCAAAATGAATTTTAAGGAGGACAGGTAACGGGTCTGAGCTGATGTCGGGTAATAAAACTGCAGCAGAACAGCCTCGTTCAGATGCGCAATGTTGCCATTTCAGATCGTGTGATAATATTTTGTCAGGTTGCTTCATGGCTCTCCACATCCTGAGCGTGCACACACACACACACACACACACACACACACACACACACTACTAAACATAAAAATACCATTTATACACCCATGTGAATGACAAAAAAGTGTCAGTGTTTCCTCCCAGAACTGTTACGCTGCTTTTAAAATAGTCAGGGGAATCACTTTGCACCTTGTAATGCGTTCACCAAACCTTTAACTGCAGGAATTCAAAGCCATTTTTGTGCTGCTGCTGCTGCTGCTGCTGCTGCTGCTGCTGCTGCTGCTGCTGCTGCTGCTGCTGCTGTGATAGAACATGAAGACAAACTGAACTAACAAATTTCTCTTTGTCTCTCCAGCCTTCTGTGAAGAGGGATGTAGGAGCGGAGGGACCTGTGTGTCTCCCAACACGTGCGTCTGTCCCTCGGGATTTACAGGACGCCGCTGCGAGACAGGTAAGACCTGACGACCCCTGCTGACCTTTCACGTGTCCGTCTTGTTCGAATGGAGCATCCATATTGTTTTTTCATCGAGTCAGAAGTGACATCAGAGGGATGGTCATCAGGGTCAGTCTGAGGGCTCGGCAGTTGCCCTTTGTTTCTCTCTCCCTCTTGTCTCCCTCTCTCTCTCACACACACACACACACACACACACACACCCACTTTGACTCTCTATCTCTAAAGCCCTGTGTTTAAATTGGACACTGCAGAGATTGAGGATCCCAGGAGAGCTGTAGAAAACGACTGCTAATTCTTCTCTACTTGCCTCCTCCCCTCTTCCTTCTTTCCTTTCATCTCCTCCTTCATCTCCCTCACTTCCTTCCTGTCTTCCTCTTCCTCTTTTCTTTTCCTCCCCTTTCCTTTTATCCTGTCTCTTATTCTTCTCTCCTCCTTCCTTCATTTCCATCACCACATCCCCAGTCTCTACCTTTTTTTGTTCCCCTCCTCCTCCTCCTCCTCATATTTTTCTGCTCATTCATCATCTCTTTTCATCCCTCATTTCTCTCCTCTCCTCTTGTTATTAAAGCTTCTGTCTCTGCGGTCTCTTTTTACTGAAGTGATCAACCAGCTCGCACAAACCCCTCCCATTCATGGGTCAGCCATTCAAGGAGTGTTGCCATGGTTTCTCCTTAGATACCGGATTGCACATACATGTGCACGTTATTGGTGACAAAAAGCTCCATGTGTATCCACAAACACTTAGACCCCAGGTACTGCTGTCAGTCCTGATACACCCTCCATTAACGCGTAAAGCAGAGGAAGATGGTGCACGTCTGTTTGCTGAAACCCCCCTGGGACACATTTCCTTTCTTCATCACAAGTCTGCGTTGTCTGCGGATAACACTCAGTGGAAAGCACCAGTCAGGAGGGAGCGGGTGATATTAAGTGTAAAAACTACACAAATGCCTTTTTTCCTTTTTTTCTTTTTTTTTTTTTGTCTTTTTTATGTGTGTGTGTGTGTGTGTGTGTGATTAATTCCTCATTGATTTTCTCAAAGGATAATAAAATACCATTCCCTGCCAATCCCCCCCCCCCACAAGATTACACATTATGACAAAGTAAACTGTTGCCCTGAAGATAAGACTTTATTAAGCCCAAAGGGAAATTAAAGATGGCCCTTACAACGTTATGTAGCGCACCTTAAGTAAGAAGAAACATATACATGTATGAAATTAGTAAAATCAATGGAAAATTAAAAACTGATTTCACCCCTGCTGGTGTTTCCTGTAGCAGTGGTGATAAGGTGAAAGTTTAATTTTCTTACATACTGGCTGGTTCGAGTTTCTCATTTGGGTTAAAATTGTCATTTCTGCTGAAGTTCCTTCAAGTTAATTAAATGGAGACGGCATTAAGATGTGATGGTTAAGGTTTGAGTAAGGGGCTAGGAAATGCAGTTCCACACAAATTTACTAAGACAAAGATGTATGTGAGTGTGTGTGTGTGCATGTTCATGGGGAAATGCACAGTTTTCACTCACTTTTATCAAACATAAGTTGGACGTTGCCAGTCAGTTACTGAAGCTGTGCATTTTCATCCCTCAAAGTTTAGTAGAATAAAAAAAAAACTCTGTGGTTAAATCACTTCACTGCACTTCTTCTTCTCTTTCACAACACTTTTATCTTTGCTGTGGAGAAAATAATGAATCAGACATACTCTCAGGTCTTAAGTATTTGAACCTCTGAGAGGTAATCAGTGGCAATCAGCATGCAACACATTTTATGAAAGCTGGCAATAAACCAAGGGCTAATTAACCTCCCAAAAAAACAGCATCAAATATCTATCAATTAATTAACATGGCAAACCAAATCCTCAGTGCTGTTCTTTGAAAATTAAATTTTATATCCAAATGGTAACGTTTCACCATGGCAACTTGGCACAGGCTTTACATTTGTGCTTGTAAATTGAATTTTGATGACTAACAGAGTGAAAGAGTGGTTTGAAAAATGACTACATCGCATCTGTAAAATGATTCTGTTGCTCCTCTTTGAACCACTTTAGAGGGGGCGAGCAGAGAGCAGAGAGATTATGCAAAGAAGAAAATAAAGTGTTGAAGTGAGGAGCGGATGAGGCGCAGAAAGCAGCCCCCCTTCTCCCTCTCCCCTCTTATTTCCTCATAAGCACCAGAATGTGAACTTACACACCGTCCCACTAATGAGGCTCCTCCCTGTGGCCCTCTGACTGCTGCCCCAGGAGGTTACAGTCGCTCTGTCTCCTTCTGTCAGAATCTGTGTCTGTCTCTCCCCGTCACAAATGTCTGAGACCTCGCTGTATATCTCATTCGCAGAAACTGCAGAAGAACAGGGTTTCATTTCTAATCACTGTGAGCTTACACCTGAGCCGCCGACGACTCTGCATTTGTCTTCAGTTTTGATTTTAAAGTTTGCTTGAAAAGAATGAGGGATAACAAAGATAAACATGGACAAAATCCTGAACACTCGGAGACATCATATCTTCATAACAAACTAGTAATGGGTACATCTTTGAAGAAAAAGCGCATGTGCTCGATTCAGCTGAGAAATCGCAGCTGAAATACTGAAAGCAATGCAAATGTCTCATTATATAAATAGTGGCATTTGAAGTGAAAGCACTGAAAGGAAATGAAGTGTCAGTTCAAATGTCACCGCTCATTCAGATTTAGGGCAAAGATTATGTTGTTACCGACCAGTATCATTAAATTGTCAGACATGTAAACAGTTTTAGCATTTTAGCTCAACACTTATTTGAAAAAACTTTTTGTCCCTTTAGAGTTTCCGTAGTTTTTATTTGACACATCATGTGACATCTACAGCCGTCTTGTACTTATGTCATAATAGTGTTACTGAAGTGAAAGACTTTCATGTCCTGCTGTCGGGATGGTGGAGTTTCCCTTGAAGACTTGCTGTAGGCAACTTGTACAAGCTGTACAGAAGCTTCTTGTTTTAACTCATGTTCTCTGTGTCTGTCTCTGTGTTTCCCTCTCGGCGCGTCTCTACCTGAGAGTGTCTGTCAAACTCGCTGTCTGTCTGTCTGTCTGTACGTCTCTCATGAACCTCTGTCCATCTGCCTCTCTGCTGCCCTTCCCTCCCGCGTAATGAAACACCTCGCTGCTCCACTGACTCCTCTCCTCTGTGGGGGCACACTGCGGCTCAGTGGGAGTTTAAGAGCATCTAAATATAAAGCACATGGGAACAGAGTTGATCTTTTCATCTTCTCCCACGGTAATCCGTTCTTTGGAGTCACTCGTCTTCCTCCAGTGGGTTCATAGAGCCGCCACAGATCCACCACTGGATCCTTGTGACTTATTTTTCTGAAAGGCTTCACTCCGGGTTCAAAGATCAAAAACAGAACAGCTCCCCAAACGACCAACTCCCACTTCGCACGACGTGAAGTATATACCGCTTCTTTGCCAAAACAGCTAATGCAATATAATGTACTGTAGGTACTGTACTGCAGAGTATGTGGTTGGGTGAGAGCTGACCCATTTTGTAACAAACATTGTTCTCCAAGTTGACTTCAATGTGACTGCTGAGGAGTTTTGTGGTTCAGCCAAACTGCGGAAAGCATCCGCAGCTCTTCACCGCCGAGTTCAAAGTGTAAACCTGACACAAACCTGCCCTCACATATGCACGCTGAAAGTGTTACCGCGTGCTCCCTCTTTACTGAGGAGATCTCCTCCAAGTGTGACCGCAGTGGAAGACATGGGGGGCAAAATCTGCACTTCACAAAAACGCTTTCTACAGTTAAATCAAAGCTAATATGAGGCTTCAGCAGTTTATGTCAGTCAAATCAATTGGATAACTTCCTATTTAACAGTCTTCAGACATTCCCGCTTTATGCTTCTTGGGCATTTAGCTGAGCAGCAGCATCAGCTAAACTTTAGAAGTCAGTTTTGCAATGAACACGGACTGCATTTTTTTTTCTCATTCAAAGGCAACAATTTGACCCCATGATAGTTGGGCTTCTTTCTCTTTTTCCCTTTTTTTTTTCCTTTTTTTTTTTAGCTTTTGAGGTAGGTTTAAGAAAAACACATCAGCAGGGTGCCTTGGATTATTTCCGCACTGAGGCGGATGAATCTGAGAATGTGGCCACATGAGGTTTTTTTTTTACAAAGCCATCCATTGAGACTGAAATGAAGGGTTGTGACTGTATTTTCACTTTCTGGATAATAGCTTCATGTTGGTGCCACTTCACTGAGCAATAAAATTTTAGGGATAATATTTGAAGATGTATTTAGGCTCTGCTTTATCTAGAAATATTTTAGACTTTTAGACACTGGTGAGACTCCAGGATTTACATGTAACCTAGATGTCCAAAAACCTACAAACTGTACATATAAAACCCTTAAATACTGTATCAAGTCAGTAACAGCTTACTGTCGCAAGTAGACGTTTTATCACATGCAATTACAAGAGGTAAATGAAAATGAGTGTTGATATCAGAAGTCGTATAGAGCAGCGTTGCATCCCATCATTAGTGCTTAGTTATGGTCTGTGGTCACTGTAACTGCTGCTTTAATCCAGCAGGCTGTTAATTTCATGCACATTTACTGGTCACAGATTGTCAGGTAGCAACAAACACAAACCTCCGGTGACTGTTTCTGTTTGAGGACACTTTACTGTAAATGCCCCGTGTGGCATTTCCTGAGATGTTGTTTCAGTAGGTTAGTAGGGCTGAGATAAGTGTAATTATGTAAAGCTCAGTAGTCCAGAGGATCCTCCAGAGAGCTCAGGGATTATTTTAACTATGTGTGGATTAATTCCCATTTCCTCGCTGAGCTAAAACTCACAGCTCTTCACATTCTGGGCTGTCACAAAGTCTTCATGTATCCCCGCTGGGAAAATTCACAGACGGGGCAGAAGTGAAGCCCTGCAGAAAGTACTAAGTGCTCCCGTTTGCATTGTAATGGAAGGAAACAGAGGGAAATATGAAATGCTGTCTGGCTGCTTTCCTTCCTGTGGCTGTAACAAGGATTGATG